GATATTCTATTCAGAACACGTTATACTATATGTCATTTGATAGATGAAAACCTTTTCTTTGTACTGGTTATAGGTAATTTTATAATGAAACATGAGAGAGAACTATCAATGAATTGTGAGAGAAAGGATGTGACTGGTGGGTCTGGCAAGAGGGGTCTGATTTTCTATTTGAAAGCTCTGTAACCAAACAAAATTGAAGGCTATAAAAATTATGGTTTGTTTAAGCAATAATGATTATATAGAGAGTATTTTATGTTTAATTTCATACTTTTTTGAGGGGTGGTGGATAAAATAGGGATGATGACATGCTAAAACAAAATTTGTCACGTGGGTCACACTAGTAGAAATTCATGATTTTTTAAAATATTGCAATGTATAATTAAGAACTTAAAACTTGTATACTATTAGAATATGGATTATTAGCTAATATTTTATGCTATTTTATTGGTATAACGTAAACAAAAAGTAGTTTAATGTAATTTTGAATGTAAGACATTAAAACTTTGTGTGATGTGCTGTTTAGGGTACCCAGGCAATAGGGTTAACGGTTTAATGCAGAACAATAACAAAAGGAGGCTTAAATATGGAACTTAAATGAAAATGGAAAACTGAGAGTAACATTTTATCAAACATTCTTTTTGTACCAATGCTTATCTGTAATTCATATGTTTCATGTAAAATTACGTCTCTTTGAGATGACATTCAATGTTGCTTTAATAATAATAGAAATACAAATACAGTGTCTTCCTGTTTGAAAACACTTGTATGTTTTATTAGTTTTTGATCTATTTATGTAAATACTAAAATCTAGTACACATCTTCCAAAGTCTTAGTACACAGTTTTTGGTCATTTCTCTGAGCCCATTCTGTAATGATGCTATTATTTTCACCAAATAAAGCTTCTTTACATTGGTATTCATGTATGTGTCAAACCCTGATACTTAGCAGATATACACAGTCCATACTTTGACCATTTTACAATAAGAAAACTTTGTTCCTCTGAGTCTGAAACTTGTGGATTTACCCGAAACAAGTAGTAAATTTTAGTATTCAACTAAAAGTTTAAAGTTCATTATCTTTGTACTCTACCATCTTTTTCAATACTAATTCTTCTTCAGAAAGACAGAATAAATCCTAATTTTTTTTGACACCTATAACACAAGTCCTACAAAAAGTGTTCGTTGAAAATCAGTTACTGATTTGTGAATTTGGTGAATTTGAAAGATGAAATAGGTAAGAAAAAATGGAGCAGGATTAATTTTATTTACTTTTCAACTTGTGAAGAAAAGCAATTGAAAACATAAATGATAGTAGTAATGGTTGGAGACGGCTTGAATGGGTAATGAAGAAAAACTTTAATGTAAGTTTAACATAACAGCAAATGTACAA